TCCTGGATTAAAGTCAGAAACAAATCCACTGACTCTCAGATATTCAGGCTCACATACAGCTTTGTGAACTGATGCCGAAGCTCTGTGCAAGTCTTCTAACAAAGTTTTTCTGGATCAGGTGAAGGAGCTGATGTTCTGATGTCAATAGTAGACTGGTTTATAGCTTACTTTGACAGAAAGCTTTAAAAGTACTGTGTATTTGTCTGTCAGAGCTTAGACCTCCAAGCACATGATTGCTATCATTGAATAAGCGTCCAAGAAGATGGTTGTATGTCCAAAAACCAGCTGTTAAGTCATCATAAATGGTAGAAATAAATTTAGTCATTTATCAATACACTTTAACGTGACAGGTCTTTACAACTGAAAACTATAGGCTGTATGTAAAAGATGGACATGGCCACTGTGATGTCACCCATGGGATTCTTGAATTTTTAAGTTTCAGTGTTACCATTTTATGTCCTGGTTATTTTCTGCCTATAAAAATATCAGGGTTGTTTTACTGAACTTTATCGATATTTTGTAAATATCCATAGAAATTAAAACACATGGAAAAACATCCATAAAACATAATGTGGAAAAATCCTTCATTTTCAAACAGTACTTGTTGTACTTTCGGTACTTTTAAAGATGAAAATAAAAGATTAAAACTAAATACAAATAAAAAGTAATTAGCTTGGTAAGCAGCTAAACCAAAACCAGTACCAGTGTGTGGAATTTGGTACTGTTTCCGGTGCTTTGCTTCATTTGAAATAGTAAATTCAAAGTTTTCTCAAACAAAATAAGTCCATACTTCTGTGTTTTATTATTTATTTACAACATTTTGCTGTCAGACGATGTAAATGATGTATGCCTCAGTCTCCTGGTGTTTGTGTACTAAAATATTAAATAGTAAAAGTTATAAGAACTAGTCCATTTACCATTTACCTGCTAACATTTCAGACATATTGTCCGACATAACATGTTTGTTTAACATAAATAGCATGCTGATAAGAAATGTCAGCGTAACCATCATAAAACTTATAGAACTGCTTATCCAGCTACCTTACTAGTACCTATAAGTGATTTTCTACTTTATTTTGAGATTTGTTCGTACAAGACTCATTCACACAGACATTCTTTGAAGGGCCTAGTGTTGCCTGCATCGAGTTTTTGTTCAGGTTTGAGTCATCACATGGTCTCACTTTTTCTTCTTCTAACCCAGATGTGCTTGGGTGCCAAAATTGAATTTAGTGCAAATCGGTACTCAGTATTTTAGTTGGTACCGTAAAAGGTACAGAGTACTGCTTTCAACCCTACGGATACCTGATATTATTATAATAAAATACTACAATTTCACACAGTAAAATGCAACATTCTTGGGTGTTTTTCTAGTTTAATAAACATTTTGCCACAGCAAGCCAAATTATTCATCAGATGAGTCAATGATTCGAGCGTTTATTGAACCTTCTGACGAGTTAAACAAAAAACATTAAATCTTAGCTTTCATCATATTTGCTACATAACTTATCTCTACAATTTTGGGGGAGTATTTATTGTTTAACAATGTATTGTGCAATTTATTTAGGTTTTGGGGGGGCATCACACTGACTATAAAGAAATCTTAAAATCTGTATGTATCAGTTATGACACACTAAGCACTAAAGGGATATACTCTTGACATGCCTGGTAGTATGAAACACTCTAATACAATGAGAAGAGTGGGGTAAAGCGGCTACAAAATGTTTTAGAGCCAATATTTAGCAGCACAAGTTGAACTAACTTGCTAACTGACTGAAAGGCATTGGAGCAGTAAAGTGAGTGTAGATGCTACTGTATAAACAGCAGAAACAAGCATTTACTCACTTATGACCCTTGTCTTTTGTAGTCTTGTTTGGAAACTGAGGTGCAGGTAGAGCCAAGTGGACATTGGAGGAACTGCACCCTGGGAGGTTGCTAGACCTTGCTGGAAACTGAATATATTTTGGGTTTTCGACAAAATAAGACATCCAAGGGCCTCTTCATGAACTCCCTCAGTTACTGATGTGTTACTATGATAATATCGCATTCCTGTTTACTGTAACGTTTCTGTGCACATACTGCAGTGTCTATTCGAGTGAGGACCTCTTGAGGAAACCTCTGTGAATTTTCATCAACCTCTGTTTGCAAACACGTCACCTCTCCTCTTCCTCATGGTTGCCTCGGGGTGTTTTTTGTCCAATGGCTCCAAGTCATGACGTCAGGGTCCAAAAACCCCCTTCCACCCTGTCTCGCTCTTAATAATTGATGGTCGACAGTAGAGCTGGGCGATAGAACGATAACGATATGTATCGCGATATAAATTTTACTCGATAGAGAAATTAAGCTATCGCGATAGACCTCGCCGCTCTTGTCCTCTTAAAAAAAAAAAAAGGTCAGCCAATCCAAATTAAGTAGCGCAGAGCCGAACCAATCACAGCCGCAGCATCACGTCGCGTGACTTGTTACGTACAGCACAAGTGCCAAGCCGCACGTGTGTTTGTTTGGGAAGCAGCCAGCGGGTAATGGAGCCAGCGCGTAATGGAGGAAATGAGTGTGCCGACTAGAAAAATCAACCGAGCGTGACCGAAGAGAAAACAGATGATGGTTCCAATGCCGGAGAGATTGTCGAACGGAAGAGCCATAGAAGTTCCGTAGTGTGAAGGTATTTCGGCTATTTCAAGTCTGACAAAAAACAGAGTAGCGTGCACTGTAAATTGTGCCGAAAGCAAGTCTGGAAATACAATAAGCTGGTGCATGCGCTACGTCCACACGTACCCAGGTATTTTTGAAAACTCAGATTTTTCTATGCGTTTGCACCTTTCGTCCACACGTAAACGGCGTTTTTGGTCACTGAAAACGAAGATTTTTGAAAACTCAGTTTTTGCATTTACGTGTGGACTAGAAAAACGGAGAAAACGCAGCGTCAAAGGTGTGCGCATTTTTTGACGTCACACTGCGCCACGTTATTGTTTCGGTGAAATGAATTTCTACAATACTGTTACTGTTAATTCTACTCTCTGCAGTGTTTAAATGCTTACATATACACACAGTTACTGTCCGTCCACACATACGACTCGGTTCTGCTTCTATGCCCCAGCTTTGTTTACTTTTTCCCACCGAGGCTTCTAGACTTCTGATTGGCCAACATTTCTGCACGGTTAGGAATCTAGCGCCACCTGCTGCTTTGGCATGTTCATAGCAGCGTTTTCCTTCATTTCTGCCTTTATGTGTGGACGGGATTATTTTTTAAAACGAAAACGGAAAATCTCAGTTTTCAAAAATACCCGTGTACGTGTGGACGTAGCCTCAGTCTCTGACTGGAAGCGCTAATTCGTCATTCGGCTTTTGTCAGACTAAAGTAACTGTTAAAACTGTTTGAAAAGATAAGCTATACAACAAGGAGAGATTGAGAATTTCCTTTTAGTTCTCAGTTTATTTGATATTGACAAAAGTTAGTCAGTTTTGTCTGTTCTTCTGTAAAACAAACTAAGATTTATTTTTAGAATTAATATTTTGTTTCTAAGTGGAATTGACAATTTAGTCTGTTTCATTTGTTCTATTTTGAAACTTAAACGCTTTAGCGGCTGCCTTTTGTGTAGTTTGCAATATTTGCCTTTATTTATCTGAAAAAGTCTCATGTTCCTTAAGTACATCTACCCTGTTGAACTTATTATGGGAAATAAATATTTAAAAACAAGCTGCTGATTATTTCACATTTTACTTGTGAGCAACGGCACATTTAAATCTTACAAATATAGTTATTTGGCTTATATCGTGATAGATATCGTTATCGCCTGAAATGAAAAAAACATATCGTGATATGAAAAAATCTCATATCGCCCAGCTCTAGTCGACAGGCTTTATTTTGTGTCTGAGTCATCAGCAGACAAAGGTTTGGCTGCAGCTCACTAAGGAGTCACTGTTTGAATTAAAGGCCCAAAGCACAATGTTGTCATGCTAATTTAATCTAAGCAACTCTTTGCTGACAATAGTAGAAGTATGTTAAAGGTTTAAAGTGGCTCCTATCCCTGTGAAGTGATTCTGGAAATATAACTCAGATAATAACCAGGAGGACCTCATTCAGCAGAGACTGCTGTTGTTTCCATCCAAAATCATAACTTTCTAATGGCTCTATGCCGAGGTTTGTGTTTGGTCATCATGCTGTGCATTACCACCGAGGGCTGGTCAACATAGCCACTCCATTCGTGATATTAAAGAGGTACGATGGAGCGTTATTAAATCCCGCAGGGCGGGGTGTTACTACCAAGGGTGCCACAACCAGTTATTAGGTTTTTCACCCAGGACCAGGTAAATTAGGATATCCTTTCCCCGAATAAATGAAATCATCATTTAAAAATTGCATTTGTATTCAGTCAGGTTATTTTTTGTCTAATATTAAAAATTTGTTGCAAAAACTAAGAAATCAGCCATCATTGCTTTGGTTTATTCTCTAGCTAAAATTAGGCAACATTCACATACCTCATATGTGTTTTTCACAACAGCAGTCCTGCCTCCTCCACCCTCTATAATGGCAGTTCCTTCATGTAAAGTTCACACACTATTTGCAGTTCTGAGAATGTCTTTGAAGCAGACATTTTCCTGCTCTGTGCTGCATCTGAGGAACTACAACTGTGTTATGACACACTAAGCACTATCCCAGCCTGATTCTCCCAAAATGATCCAAAGTTCATGTGTAAAAACAGTGTTGCTCTCTCCCTCTTCACACCTTCATTTAAGGTGTTACTCCCTCTATGCTGTGTCCTGAAATCCCCCTCTGTCACTCTGTCTCTTTCTGTAAAGCTGTTATTCCCACTGGCCTTCCTGTCAAAATATCTTAAAACAAAGCTTCTGAAAACCCTCCGGCTTCTTCACTACGGGATGCAGCTGCAAAGGATAAATTCAAACGCAAAACATTTTTTTCCATTTTTGTTCCTGAATTATTCGGAGCTGGTTTACCCGGACCTTTGCTGGTCATCACTAACTTGTCCCCTTTGGTTCTGCAGTGGCATTGAAGAACCGGCTATCCAGTGGCACGAACAGGAGCAGTGATCACAACAATGCCAGCAAGACGACGAGAGCTACAGAGATCCAGATACCCGAGGGGGAGCTGCTTCTTCAGGTGGGTGAGAGCCAGACATGTTTTACCTGCTGACATCCATCTATTTTATTGCACTTTGCTCCAATAAAGCCCAGTTCAGGTTGTGGTATTTTCTTGAGAACGTGAAGACAATAACTCCCAATTTTACCAGTCTTGTAATGTTATAGAATTCTTCCAAAAAAAAATCCAGAAGCCTGGATTGTTGGGTTTTTCTCTGTATGTATTATTGTAGGGTCTACAATATAAAGTGCCTTGAGGCGACTGTTGTTGTGATTTGGCGCTATATAAATAAAATTGAATTGAATTGAATTGAAACCTGCACTCAGACTTCAGGTTTAAGCCTGAGTTCTCAGGCACACTTCTGAAGCTGCAGACCTAACCTGCTCTAGAGAAGATTATTTTAAAGATAAGATATCAAAATAGACAAAATAGCGTCACCATTCCTGGAAAACGCCTCAGACTTGGGTGCTCAGATGGCCTGAAGTTTTTAGAGATCATGTGAAGTTTGTCTTTACAACATAGATTCTCCTTCATCGCGCAATTAAAAGCAAAACCAGTGTTATGGCCAACCTATCAGATGGAAAACAGCTGTTCCAAACTTTAGGAGCTACTGCCTAAAAGTTGGTCTGTGGATATGAAATTTAAAGGTGTAGAACAGCTAAATAGCCCCAGTCACATGGAGTAAGTTCTCAGCAAATCAGCTACTTAAGCAGGAGCCATGCAGAGTTCACAATGAATTCAAAATTTCAGTGGAATCAAATAAAAGGAAGAAAGAAAAGCATGATTGATGATAAGGGAACTTTTAAGGGTCACTTTTAAGTTGAGCCAAACCCTCTTGTGGTAAAATTTACACCTAAATTTATTCATAACCTTATCGATTCAGTACCAATACCATCGTTGGTATTGATATTTGGATCAATCCGGCCAACCTCTAAAACCATCTAATAACTGTAGAAGAAACAGATGTGTTTCTCAACATGGTTTTTAAAGCTCGACTAGTCTTTTTCACCGGTGTCACTGCTAACTGTGTGCCTCTGAGGCTCTCAGTTTGTGGCTTTTTTCGCTGCATCATGCAGAGAGTGTCCACACTTAGTGGTTTATAAGGTCAGTGGAAACCTTGTGATGGAGGAGAGGCTGCTCTGCACAGCAGGACGCGGAGACAAATGGCTTGTTTTCCTTGACTTACAGCGGTGACATCTCCCCTTTGAATGTGCACTCGAGAGTTTTACTTTGCCACAGTGAGCTGTTGTTTAACCGAACATGACTTCCATCTCACACTTTTGCTGTTATTACTCCCTACACTTGGTAAAGTTATTTAAAAAAATATATGTATATAAAAAATAGGGGGCTCAGGATACTTAAGGTGAACACAGACACTGAAAATTAATAATACTGCTCCATAACATCAACTTACCTCAGTGTTTCGGGAAAATTCGTAAATATTTCCAGGTCCAGAGGTTCCTTCACTTCCCAAAAGTAAACAAACACTCAGACACCACTAATAGCTAAAAATGGTCCAGGTATTTTTACCTCCAATAAAATGGTCAGTGTTAAAGTTTGACCAGAAGATTAACATCCAGACATCAATGAAAGAGAAGACGTACGAGATAGAACTTAGCACTAAAACAAAACACAGCATTTCTATAATGTTGGGTGTAAACAAAGACAGAAAACGAAATAACAGCGACTTTTGGAAAGTTAGTGAAGTTGGGCTAGTTTATATATAGTAGTGTGCTAGCTAGTGGCTAGCTACAGTGCTATGGTTAGGCTAACACAAGCACATTACCACAGGAAAGATGGAGGATGAGGGTTAAATTATTCTCAATAAAGGCTTTTGTTGAATGGCAGAATGGGCAGAGACAAATGCCCATTGCCACTATTGGGCGGGAAGAAGATGCCGAAAACAAACCGACCTGGTTAAATAAACACTGACTCACTGCACTGTCTTCTGGTCAAATTTGGTATTGCATGACAGCACAGTCCAGGCCTAGTGTGACTTGAACAGGATATCTTGTAAACACAACGAAGGATATAAAGTCATAGAAGTTGTTTCTTTACAATCTCTTTATAGATTTAGTTCATTTTGGGAAGTTTTACACTATTTTAAATAATTAATGATAAAATTAAAATACAGGAAAACATGTCTGGATGCTTTCAGTCATCCAGATCCTGGTGGTCTAAAGTGCTGGAGTCGAAGGCACCTGGACTTCGTTAAGTTTTAAAGATGTTTCTTTTTAGTTCACGTGACATGTGCGCCTTGCATTGTAGGTACGAGCGGCAGCAAAATCAAAACACTGCATCAAGCGCTAGCATTTCCAGCACCGGTAACCATTCATTGTGCTGTTTTAATCCCTACTTGCATTTTATTTGCCCCCAAAACAATCGTGGGGCGATCGTGGCTCAAGAGTTGGAAGTTCGCCTTGTAATCGGAAGGTTGCCGGTTGCTCGGTCGTTGTGTCCTTGGGCAAGACACTTCACCCGTTGCCTACTGGTGGTGGTCAGAGGGCCCGGTGGCACCAGTGTCCGGCAGCCTTGCCTCTGTCAGTGCGCCCCAGGGTGGCTACAATGTAGCTTGCCATCACCAGTGTGTGAATGTGTGTGTGAATGGGTGGATGACTGGATATGTAAAGCGCTTTGGGGTCCTTAGGGACTAGTAAAGCGCTATATAAATACAGGCCATTTACCATTTACCAAAACAGTTATGTACAAAACGAAGGAGAACACGGCAGGTCTGTACAAAGACAGACTTGACGAAAGGCAAAAAAAAAGGTACGAGGAAAAAAATCAAAGGAGTGAAAAGGTTAGACCCATACGAGCAGTGGCGTCAGCCACACATTAAAATCCACTAAAATCGGAGCGGAGCAAAGAAAACCCGGCGGCGTCCCCAGACGTCCTGTCTGTCTCTTCGCTCCGGAGTACTGGAAGAGAGAGGGGGCAGTAACAGTCATTGTTCTTTCCAGTGAAAGAGATTTGTTGTAGCACGGTGTGGCTCGGGACTTACCCCGCAATCCAGGCCATCCATCGCCTCTTCGGGACTTCAGAAACATGACTTGAACATATTTCTTCCACGAAGGAATCCGACAAAAAACGATCTCTTTACCCGTCGGCTTCCCATGGCTATCATGCAGCCGGCTATGGCAGTTAATAATACAACAGCTTCTTGCCATTCTTTGTGTCTGTTTATCTCTGTGTGACTGTTGTCTTGTAATAGCCCGTGCACGCTAGCCTCTTTTACCTACAATCCTTTGTGGTTGTATCCCGGAAATAAGGTCACATTTTCGAACTCAATTCCCTATCCCAAGGACTGTCGCCTTGACGGGGGCCCAGACACTCTAGGACATGTCAGGGGTTGTTTGTGAGTTGTTGCCCCACCCTGTAATCCCATGAATCATTAAGGTTACTGAGATTGAGGTGTGAATGTTAGTTAAATGGTCTTTTTTGGACTCTCAGGACTGTGTTACAGGTGGCTGATAGCTGGCTGATAGTTGTGGACTATAACCTGTGGTCATTCCAGATGACTTCCTGTACTCTTTCCTCAAACCATCCACTTTCTTGTTCCAAAAAGCGTTATTCCGAGTGTTTGTCATAGTGACAATCCTGCTTTATGATCGCAAAGACTAAACTGTTGTTAGACACTTGTTAGTCCATCATGCCTGTCTTTTTGAATGCAAAAACAATTGATAAGATTATTGCAGAGAAGAGATTAAATGCACATTTAGCTGTTTTTCCTAATCCAAAGACATTTGATTGACTTCTCATTTATTGCATGCCAATCTTGACCATCCGGGACGGTGTCGCCTTATAAACCTATGAACTGTATTACAGTACCTTTATGTGGCTCCATAGAGTTGTGGTTAACATATTCACCTAAAAATATAATCAGTTTTAGAGCAGGAGGAGACACAAATTACTGTGAAAGCTGTGTAATTCCATCTGTTGTGGCGATTCTTTGCAAATAAGCAACTGAAAGGTGTTTAATGGTAAATACAGTAGTAGTAGGTGTAGGGGTGGGCGGTATAAATGGTATACGGTAGAAACGATATGAATTTGGCCAACGGTAGAGATTTTGACTATACCGCATGTTGATGATGTCATCAAGCTGTGCCTGTTTTGGTCTAAAGCATTGCAGCGGCTGCAAGCAATATCATCTGGAAATTATGCCAGGCAACAGTAATAGCAAAGAGATGAAGTACGTTTTGAAATATGAGGAAAGCCAAAAACTGAGCTTCTTCCACTTCCATACCATTATTCATTAATGTCAAATTCTCTCGCAGCTGCTCTATTCCCTTGTTGTTGCAGTTATTAATGACTAACCTCGTATTGTGGATGGATTATCTCAGTTGTTCTCCTGACTGAAGTTTGATCCGTTTACAGCATCCTGCCATGCGATTTGTCCCTAACCATCAGGAACCCTTGCGTTAACTTTTATCGAGTGGAAAAAAGTTTGGCATTCATCCTCCAGCTTCACTGCGTTAATGTTATGCTAACATAGCTGTGTCGCTAGCGATCACATAGCACATCATTATATACCAGTTAGTCCAACTTCAGCAACTCTATAAAAGTCACTGCTGTGTAGTTTTCTGTCTTCATTTATGTTGGAAGCGATGGCAGAGCTGTACGTTTAAATTTTTCAGAAATCTCTCAGAACATGCTTTATGATGTTTGGGTGGAAACTAGCAAGCTAACTTCCTGCTAGCTTCTAAATTCTGTTTTCACGGAAGCCTGATGTTAAACTTGATTGTTACACCTGATAAAGCAGGACGCTGATCATTTTATTAAAGATGAAAGTATTTAGACAGTTTTTAACTCTCAGTGATGGCGCAGTGTTCGTTTGACTTTGGGAGTGTTGTGGACAGAGTTTTGGACCCAGATTACTCTGCGAGGCTCCTGACTACAGTAGCCATAATGCTCCGACAATCTATCAAGCGGTGTGGCTTCGTAGCTTACGAAAGTCGTACTTAAACATTTTTTGACAGATTTTTGAGCACTGTGTACCTCATAAAATCAGTTCGAGGTCAGTA